AGGAAAAAAAAAAATTAAAAAAAAAAAATCTCCATTTTCTGCAGCAGCTGCACAGCTTGGAAGTCGAAGGCTGCGGTCTTCCTACAATTTTTTTCCTTTAGGGAGAATAATCACTTGGAAGCCACTCTTCATTTAGGATCCAAAGAAATTATTAAATAAAAAATGAAGCAGATGTGCCTTGTTTTTTTTTCCATGAATAAACTGACACCTTAGGCATAAGAGATGAGAATAACACAACAGATATCGAACAGTTTGCCACCTCTGTCCCCTCTTCCCCAAGTGCCAGCACACATATACATTGAACGCACATGATGAAATACCGACAGGTTCTACCTCTAGTAAACTGCTTTTGGGTTTGATGTAGAGGCTTGTGAAAGAACTGTGTATTTCGAAAAAATCTCAGCACGGGGTGGGTGTGATATACAGTCTGGAAAATTATTCACTTGCACCAAACAGTGGTTAAAGCAGCTCTTGCGTTATATAAAGATGGCTCAGCCTTGTATTTTTTGAAACTAGCCTTGCACAGTATTTTTCTATTGCTGCCCTACCACAATACAGCAAACATTTTAGGGAAATGTCTGGTTTAATCCAAAGGAATTTACATTATCATGAACTTCTAGGAGATAAGTGAGTATCTGCACCTCTGATTTTTACCAAAGCTGATTCTGAAATTCAGCTTTAGGTTATTTGGGTGTTTAATCTAACCCAACCAAATAATTTAGGGGTTAAATCTGGGTTTCATAGCTCAAAAAAATCCACTTATAATGGCCTCAAGTGAATATTTTGACAAAGATTATCTATACGAGTCAGAGGTTGTGACATGAGACTTTCTCACAATACCAAGAGATCATGAAGAAGTAATAAATATCCCTGTAATTACCATATATTCCACAAAGTCAAAAATGTCTTTAAAAGATTTGCCACTTCTTTTCTAGCGAACAAAGATAATAGAGGAACACGGTATTTCTGTTTGGTTTAAATATTGCTTGCACTATGTAACAAACAGTATGCTTGTGTATAATTGTGTCATTAAAGATATACACCACACACGCAAACACGTATGTATACATACACACACGCATGGCACACTAGCCCTGCAGGTTGCCCCTTGCACCAACAGTTATTTTACAGGATGGACTCGGTGGATAATATTTCTTCACTCAGGCAGTTGGAAAACACAATACAGCTGGATCCATATTTCAGCTACAGTTTGTACATTCGTTTTAATGCTCAGGAAAATATATATTTTATTAAGTTTTTCTGCAAAACAAAGAAACAAAAATGAAATCCCTTTTTTTCATATCTTAATTATTACTATTTATTTTCTTTACACTTTGATTGGAGTATTTAACACCTGCCTTTGGCATTATGGATAGAAAGCTCAGGAGTCTCTGAACAACACGGTTGTGCCAAAAAAAAAAAAAATATGGAAGAAGAGTGTCACTTAGAGGTTAGAAATACTCGTTTTAACAACATATTTTCTCCAATCAGTGTTCACTACTTTATCTCTAAGGCACACACTCTGTCTTTAGGATCTCTTTACATCCAGATTTGCCCCTGTCAGTCCAAGTTCTGGTCAAACCCGTGAGTACCAGTAGTTCAGAGAGCACGCTGCCGTGGGACATTACCTCCCTACCACTGACAGGCATCTGGGAGAACCAACGCCATGACTGATCTCCGATATTTCCTCACGTGCAGTGCAAGCATATGCTTTGCCATTGCCTGCCAAGGCGTAAGGTGTATCCTCCCGCAGCATCTCCTTTCAGAACAGCACAAGGCTGAAAATCTGACACAGCAGGGCCCTAGGCATGACGCAGTCACTGGAGTTGGATGCCGCTGAAAAGATCTGCATATGGAAGTTTATTCGCCTCTGGTCTGAAAGTCTCTTCTGCCTTCAGTAGACAGGTCAGTGGTCTTTACTTCAAGTCTTTTTGATGGGTCAAGCGCCCAGGGTGAGGGCGCTGCCTGCCCTCAAGCACTGCTCCTCGGCCTTATGTCGCTGTAAGAGGAGGGGACTCCCCTCCACCTCCACCCAAGCCACATCAGTTATTTGCTTCCCTCTCTTTCAGGATGGCTTTGCAGGTAGCCAAACGCATCAGCCCAACTAGCACTTCTCACCTAAAATGCAAACAAAAAGGAAGTAAAGGAGGGAGGTGGGAATGGGAAGGGAAGCGAGCATATCCTTAGACAAAGATCTGGATCCTCTCCTGGATAGCCTGCCGGCAGATGGGGCAGACGGTAAGGGCTGTGCTGCAGTCTGGGCAAGAGCCGTGTCCGCACTGGAAGACCAGTTTGATTTGGTCATCGAAGCAAATAGGGCAGGTGATGCGCTCTTCCATCTGCCGGTAGCGGTTCTGCAGCTCCTCCATGAGCTTCCTCTGATCTGTGGATTCAGAGCTGGGGCTGCACTCCACCTCGGTGCTGTCTGCAGGGGTGGAGAGCAGGGAGAGGTTTAGTCGCTACCGTGCTCTGCCTCATGCTGTGTCCCCTTAATGAAACTCTGCCTCTCAAGAGTAGCAATTAGTTCAGACCAAACTCTCTTCACTGAGCCTTATCCAGGGAATCCTCAAATAAAAAGCCTGAGATGATGCTTTTTACTGACTGGCCAGTGTTGCTTTCCTCCATTTAGTTGCTCAGCTGGTTTGTGTGTGTGTGTGGTTTTGTTCGAGTTTGTTTTTTTAAAAAGGAAACAAAATGTTGTCTAAAATGTCCTGCCTGGGTGCTCTGGAACATGCTGCTGCTACCTTCAAGTAAAAACATTCGAAGCTGGTTCTGATGTTCTGACATACTAGTCCGGGAATCCTTACGGTGCTATCAGTGCTATATTCTCTCAACCTCCCGTTCACATTTGGGATTCAAATTTCTGGCTAAATCTTTCAGGACATACACGGTAAAACAAGAAGAAACCATTTGACATCACTTACGTTGACTTTTGCATGAAGCTACACAAATAGAGTCATTTGGTCAACTCTATGAAATGAATGAACCCCAAATTCTGGACAACTGCCACCTTAGATAAATAGACTCCTCCTGGTTTCAGCTTAATAAAGCCACTGTTCATCTTCTGCTCCTCAATCTTTGATTAGGTAGCTTTACTCTTCAGTACAGATGTCCCTTTCCCCAACACTCTGGCATTAGTTGCACTTCAGTGGTACAAGAAGTGATTTCAAATCCATAAAGGTGAAGCAAGTTTGGGGATGGGGAGCTTGCCAAAGGCAAACACTGAATACATCACTGATAGGGAAGTCCTGCTGATATTCTCAAGAGACCTTGATGTTCCTCCTCCAGCGGAAATCTGCATGCACATGTCTTATTTGGAATTCTCATCACTATTTTGTTGCCAGTCTGCAGCAAAGACAAATGTTCCTGCCTACTGTCAGGTAAGCTTACTATTTTTTGCAATATTGAGTTCCAAAGAGGATTTCTGTCTTTGCCAGCTGTGTTATGTCCAATGCCATCTGGCAGATTCTTGGCTCCCCTATGCTTTTGTCCAGGCGTCAAATCACAAGACTATAGCCGGACTCCAACAAAGGAGTCCACAGTGCTAAGCCATGAGCAGCAGGACATTGAATTCATTTTCATGTGCAGTTGCTCTAAGAGTGATCTCATCTAGAAAGACGTCAACTCTCACAACTGCTATGGAGAAAGCTTCAGTGGGCAACCTGCATTAATTCTAAGGCAAGTGCAAGCCTGCCACCAGCTTGCTGACATGCATAACATTGCCCATTCTGGACGCTGAGTAACGTGGACAGAAGACAATCTGTTTAAAACTGGGCTAAAGAGCTTTATCAAAACAATCCATCTCAATGATTCCTGGATAGCTGGCTAATGCCAGCCCTGCATAGGCACTGTCATTTCAGCAAGGTTTTCACAAGATGTAATTTTAACTTTCTCACAAATTTTCACTGTTAAATCACTGTGAAAACAGCCTGAGACATAGGAAACCTCGTATTTGCTTTCAATGCACAAAATAAGCCAGGCACAGGACAAGCTTCCTCAAATGTCCTGTCCTGCCTATGCAGCTCAAGCTTCTCTCTAAAGGTGGTCAATGCAACAGGCACCCCCCACACCCCTACCCCCCACTAACAAAAAAATCAACTCCCTTTCTTATGCTTATTGCACTGAAAATCATTGATGCTGCTCAAACTAATGCTGTGCAGGACCCTTCCCACAGCACTTAACAGCAGAAACAGCAAACATACCTGGTTTCAGTTTTTTGGTTATTGTCACTTGACATTTGATGCACTTCTTCATTCTCCTGGAGCATTCTACCACAAATGATACAAGAAGAGATTACAATTAAGCCCACTGATGCCAGAATCAAGAGGAAAATGACAGACTCAAGAACATCAGCTCTGAACAACCCGAGACCTTCCTGGATGATTAAGAGATTGTTCCTGCATGGAAATGAGGACACCACCCTCTTTTTGAGCTATGTCCTAGTCTCTTGGTTTAGTCTTTACTACGCCAGTAGCAAATACAACACGTTTAAGTCCTCAATGCTCTGTGCTACTGGAACTGCTGCACTGTGGATCAAAACAGCCCTTTTCTCTGATGCAAAAGGATGCAGCTCTGGCACCCAGTCCTTACCAAACTCCCTGTGGTCAGATTGTGAGTGCCTTGCGAGACAACAAACTTGCTGACATGATTGAGCAAGCTGCCATTGAAACGATTGAAAAGCAAACCAGTAACAAAAGCCAGAGAAGAGGGAAATCCTTCTCAGGAGGTTTTTGATGGGTAAAGCGCTGCCAGTTAGAACTGAAACATCTGGCTTTCCTTCTGAAATACCCAGGGCATCTATAAGCACAAGCAAAGCTGCCTGGGGTCCCAACCAGCAGGTGGTCAGAACACTCTGTGCTTTTCATAGATAGCTTTGGACATCTTATCTAAGATGGGGATGCTGAAATCAGGCTGGGGTTGTTTCAGGACACAAACAGCACAATAGCTTTGTGTCTAAACAGAGCCTGACTTATGAGAGTCCAGCTAGGGAAGCTACGTGGTGGAACAGGAAAGAAAAATTTAAAAAAACAAAAAGGAAAAAAGAAAAACCAAAACCAGAACGGACTTACCTTCACACACAATACTGTGCTGGCATGGGAAGAAATGGATGAGCAAGGCCAGCTCTGAGCAGACCAGGCACTCTGTGGGGACTGCCACACTTGAGACACTAAGGTTGGTCATTGTGTTGGGGGTGGTGTGCACACGGCGAAGGCTGCAGGTGATGGTTGAGCTGTCCGAAGAAATCTGCTGTTCCCTGCAACCAGGAACATGTAATAAAATTTGAGCCACATACTCCAGGTCCTCCTTCAGCCACCAGATAACACGTTATTGATCCCTGACAAACACTCCACATGGTGACAGAGCAGCAGATGCTCAGGTAGCATAAACCTGTGAACCTTCACTGCCCTGGTGGGACCAACTCAGCCTCTAGTAGCCGGGATTCTGACAGGATCTATCTATAAAAAGACAGGGAAAGAACAGGGACAACTAA